CTCTGTGAGGTTTGGGACAGGGAAAAGCAGAAGGTGGGAATTAAAACCTATACCTATCACTGACTCATGTTGATGTTTGACAGAGAATAACAAAATTCTGTGAAGCAATTATCCTACAAATAAAAAATGTATAGATTTTAAAAAGCTAAGTACTCAACCACCAAATCAGGTGTTGGTCACCCAGGCAACAAACCTCCATTCTAAGGTTAGATTGAGGTTTTGCTAATGACCTCCCTCACATCATGAAAGACTCCCTTGGTTCCATCATCTCTTAGGTAAGCTAATCGTTTTAAAGCTCGTTTCCAAGAATGGTTAAAAGACCAACTAATACTTCTTATATATGTCAAAGTATCAATATACCCTCAATATTCCTTAATTCCAGTGCCCATTATGTGAACACAGTGGAGGATTTTCTTCAAAGCCTTCCTCAATTAAATCATAATGCCTTCACACTTTCTTTTTATACTGGAACCTTTCAGCTACATACTTGTACAGATATTAGTATTATAAACTCATGGGCCAATGTCCAGTTCCAGTCATAATCAACATATGGAGAATATTATTAATGTGTATCTTTTATTCCTGTTTTATTAGCAGCTAATCAGTGGCAACACGCCAATTCATGTAAAAATATCAGTAATGATATGCAATTATTTACAATATTACCCTGTTAATCTGAAGCCTGAAAACATGAATAATAATGTCCTACAAAGCAGGATATGAAACAGACTTTTCACATGCACCCCTACCAGTCTCTATTGCAAACAAACTGGTATTTTCTGTATTTACTTTTTAGACCCAGCTGTGATGACCATCTTCCTATTTCATCGAGATCCTCCTATCCTTACAGCCTTGTGGGCTGACCTGTGCCTGGAACTTCCATACACAGGACCCTGCAAGGCCAAACTAATCAGACACAGCTACAATGCCAAGTCCAGCTTGTGAAATATTTTTGTATATAGTAGCTAAAATGATAAGAATAAAGATTACAAATGATAAGAATAAAGATTACAACGGGAACCAGGCTGTGTTAAGACCCATGCAGGTGCTATCCTATCCTGGGTAAGATAGCAAGCATAGAAGGGGGAGAGAGGAAGGGCTGGGAAACAGGTGGAGCTCAGGAGGGTACACACTCCTCAAAATCAACCACAGTGACTGTCTTCCTTGTTGCCTCCCAGGAGAATTGGCTACTGTACCCTTAGAAACCATGGGCTGAGCATGTCCTCCAGGTGCCAGCTTGGCAAAAGATCAGCCTTAGAAGCACCGTCCTGATAATCTGAGTTTACACATTCTCCCCTTTCTTGCATGGGAAGAGTAAGTCTGCCATGACACAGAGCAGGTCTGTAGTTCTACCCCTCCTCGGCTCTAAAATTCACTTCCTTTTTGGTTGTCATTGTGATACTGAGAGCACTGTAGTTGCTCATTTCCAGGTTGGTTTAGGTCCTGTCCAGGTACACAGTGTCTGGGTCTGGGGCTTGCGAGACTCAATCAGCAAGTTCCTCTCCTTTGGTAGAGGCCATGAGAACTGGGCTCCCCTGAGAAGCTGAAGACCAAGAAGGACCCAGTCAGGGCTGAGCTCTGGCTCTTTGTGATAATATTCAGCCTTTGCCTCTTACTTCTCAACCCTACCTTCCTCAGCAGAAATCTGCCTCTATCCTCTCTCCCATATGAGTACTTGCTTTGCTCCTGGCTCATCCAGTTGGCTCTAAGCACCATGAGAGCAGAACTTCCCTTTATCCATAGAACTTTGCACAGCCCCAGGTACATAGGATAGTCCATAAATATTTAAGTAAGGATGAAAACAATGCAGGAGAAAAGCTCCTCATGGCTGCAGTGAAAGTAGAGCCTGAGATGTGAATTCATGATTCTTGCTATAATCGTCTTCCTCAGTACATCTTCACCTTCATCCTCCACCCACAATTACTTTGAGAGTCTTGGCAATGTGGCTGCCTGAATGCTGCCAAAGAGGATGGGACCACCTCCTATTCTTGTAAATATGATGTGACACTCATGAAGTTACATTCAATACCTTTGATGCATTATCTGTATTAATATCAAATAGATATGCATGGGTTGTGTTTATTTGTTTGTGTATTAATGAAATTGAAATATCTGAAAACATGTGAAAAACAGGCAAGTATCTTCCTCTTGATTTTCATCTGTTTGTCTTCCAGAAAGTCACTTTTCCTTAGCTGAGGTTCAGTATCTTCATCTCTAAAAAAGGAATAATGATACTTGATTGCTAAGATTGTTAAAGAAGAGCAAGGTATCTTTTTATCAACACTTACTGTGAGCCCACCTCTCAGGTCACAATTTTAAATTCCCTCCAGGACAGGTGAGTAATGTAAATGGACATTTGGAGTGGGTGTGGAGGCAGGAGGACAATAAGGAAGGGTGGAAATTATGGAAACTGAGAGAATGCTTCCTTCCTTAGAAGAGGGTTGCTCTTCTTAGCTTAGTTCATGGTTTTCAAAGTGTGGTCCCTTGAACAGCACCCTCTGCACCTTGGGAACCTTGTTGATGCAGCTAGTCAGGTCCCAATCTGTCCTACTGAATTGAAACTCTGGGGATGAAGATCTCAAATCTGTGTTTGACCAAGTGGCTAAGGGATTCTGATGCTCAATCACATTTGAGACTCTTGGTCCTTGTTAAATACCAGGACTGTGACGCCAGTTTGTTTCCTTGTCCTACACTGATTGAAAATTCTTATATGAAATGTCCCACTGTGAAATCCTATAAATTCCTAAAATTGTAAAATAAATTCTGCAGTTGATGATAAATATATTTTAGCCAGATGTGCATCCTATGGTTACACTCCCTTTAACCTTCAATATAATCTGGAAAAATATACTACAGGGTTCAAGATATCAGGGGCTCTTTTATCATGTAGCAAGAAAGTAATCACCCATTACTCGAATATGAATATACCCCTCTGATGGCACAGCATCTCAAATATCTAAACATCTTCTGTCAGCCCCAGGTGTATCCCATTTGAAGATGTGGCCTTAGATACCATGGAATCAAAGACTCTCATTATTCAGATAGCGATACTGAGGAACAGAAGCAGAGATACGACCTGGGGTCCCAGAGGGTTGGCATTGCTTGTCTTCCTCTAGTATACAGCGACTTGTTCCTGCCTTTCAATTTCTCTAAAGAGGCCTGCAGGGGCCAGAGATATTTCTAATCAGAGACCACACTTCCATGAACAGGAAGGGGGGAGCTGGAGTGAGAACTGGCCCATCGGGGGGCGTGTGGACGGGGGGGGGGCCCTCTAATTTGGACCAGAGTGAGGAGGACCAGGAGAGGAGGACATTGAGAGAGACAGATAGACTGATGAGAGATGAGAAGGGAGAAAAAGAGAAGTTATTTGAGGGGAGAGTCTCAGCTACTCCCTGGTCTCAGATGCAGAGATTGACTCAGAAAGAAGGGCAGGGCCAGAGTGCCTCCTGAATGTGAATCCTTGTTTTACCTTCAGCAGGTTGTGTGTCCTGAGCAAGTGGCGTTACCTTTGAGCCTCTGCTTTCTGCTTGACACAATGGGATGAGAATCCCAGATGTTGTAGGATTGAAATGAGGCTAAAGGAAACCATGCATGTGGAAAGTCTCAGAGAGAGTAGGCCCTCCACACACAGTGGCTTGTTTTGTGAGTCACCCTGTTGCACATGTGTACTAAGCCAGCTTGGTATTGAGAACTCCTGCCATTCTCAACGGTGCTCTAGGTTTGTAACCACAAGTGATAAACAAGAGTGAGTGACGGGATGGTGGGCGTGGCGTGTGCTCTCTAATTTACAGCTGCAATGCAGCAGAGTTCATGCGCACAGACTCTGAGTCAGATCACTGGGTCCAAATTCTCTCTCTACAAGTTATGGTCTAAGCAAATTACTTTATTTCTTTACATCTCAGGTCCCTCCTCAGTAACACGAGGATATGTCAACAGTTTCTGCCCCTTTCTTTAAAGACTTTTTTAGAAATAGATGAAATACATATTTCACATGTCTAGGATAATGCCTATTACAATAAAGAATTGAAGTTTTGCCTGGAGAAATTACTCATTACTGTTTTTATTACTACTAGAAAGGACTTTGCCTTCTAGGGAGAAGGAATATATTGCCTGTTGCATCCATTGCTTCCATGGCAACCACATGGGTACATAGCACGTGTTTCATGTGACTCCTGAAGACGTGGGGTTCTGAGAGGTTTAAATCCTCAGACAAGAAGGTAGGAAAATGCAGAGCTGGTATCCAAACTGAGGTCCTATGGCCGCATTGACACAGAGGGAGAGAAAAGGAGGAACTGGGTGGATACGGTGTTCTTCCAAGGTTGCCTGATGTCCACTCAAGGAGACCGCCCTCCTGTTGGTGATACCAGGTGAGGGATGACTTCTGGACATGCTGTGGAGACAGATTCAACTCCCTGTCTCCCCTCCTCCACCCTCCTTACTCGTTTTTTGATGCAAAAACAGGGTTACAGCCCAGGACAACATCACCTTCACATGCTAAGCCCCTTGTGGGCCAATGTCTGCTAAAATGCAAGTGTCCATCCACCAGAGAAGCTGTGGCAATGGTTGTAGGAAGGTGACCTGTGTCACACCTGTCGTCTGAGGTGGGGGAGGGGGGTCAGGGCATTGGGGTCCAGGTGAGATGACACCTGCAGGTGGCTGAAGTGGAGGACCTGTTTAACACAATGCCATTCACTTATCTGTCCTCTGATCTACTCTCATCCACCTACTTATCATTCATCACATGCCAGGCACTGCTGTAGGGGCTGGGATGCTCCCTGACTGTCCATATAGGACACACTGCATCTCTCTGATCACAATCTGTGTTTACATGAGACCCACAGGCATGAAGTGAGAAGTGGTGTTACTGGGCATTTGAGCCCTGCAGACAGAAGCAGGAGGCATGGTTAGGTAGGGAGATTACGCAATAAACAGGACTGACCCAGCTCCTCCCCTTGCCCACTCCCCTCCTCATCACCTGATCCCACCCCTCAGCCAGGATATTAAAGCTCAGTGCATCCCCAGCATCCTCAGGAGCCCTCCTGCAAGGCCACCAAGATGAGACGGCTCTGCCTCTCCGCAGCCCTTCTCTTCCTCCTGGTTATCCTGGTGGACAGCACCCCAGTGAATATACACCATATCCAGGATGAAGGTAGGTCCAGCCTCACCTCTCCTCTACACCTTCTGGGAAAATGATAGAAGTCCTTGGAAGGGGGCAGGGCAGGTGAGGAGTGGTATTGCCAAGCATCTTTGGATTTCTCCTGTCATGTTGGTCAGGATTACTGTCTGTTTCTTTGGTTTTGGCAGCATTGATCTTCCTCCCTATGGAAGGGTATTCTCTAGTTCTGCAGTCTACTCTCTGGTGTGGTGTGTGGGCTTTTTGTTGAAGTGGATTCTCTGGTTGCAGAGCAAGGGCTCTAGGAATTTGGGCTCATAAGTTGCAGTTCACCTTCTTAGTTCCCACAAGGCATGTGGAATCTTCCCAATCTGGGAAAGAACCCATGTCCCATGCCTTAGCATGTGTATTATTATCTACTGGACCATCAGGGAAGATTTAAATTGCAAAGATTTGACTCCACTGATATGTTGACTATCATGAGCATATATAGTACAATTTCATTATATTTTATTATATATACATATGTATCAGTTAAGTTCAGTCACTCAGTCATGTCCAACTCTTTGTGACTCCATGAACCACAGCATGCCAGGCCTTCCTGCCCATTACCAACTCCCGGAGTTTACCGAAACTCATGTCCATTGAGTCAGTGATGCCATCCAACCATCTCATCCTCTGTCATCCTCTTTTCCTCCTGCCTTCAATATTTGCCAACATCAGTGTCTTTTCAAATGAGTCAGCTCTTCACATCAGGTGGCCAAAATATTGGAGTTTCAGCTTCAAAATCAGTCTTTCCAATGAACACCCAGGACTGATTTCCTTTAGGTTGGACTGGTTAGATCGCCTTGCAGTCCAAGGGACTCTCATGAGTCTTCTCCTACACCACAGTTCAAAAGCATCAGTTCTTCAGCACTCAGCTTTCTTGATAGTCCAACTCTCACATCCATACATGACTACTGGAAAAACCATAGCCTTGACTAGACAGACCTTTTTTGACAAAGTAATGTCTCTGCTTTTTAATATGCTGTCTAGGTTGGTCATAACTTTCCTTCTATGGAGTCAGCGTCTTTTAATTTCATGGGTGCAATGACCATCTGCAGTGATTTTGGAGCCCCCCAAAATAAAGTCAGCCACTGTTTCCACTGTTTCCCCATCTATTTCCCATGAAGTGATGGGACTGGATGCCATGACCTTAGTTTTCTGAAAGTTGAGCTTCAAGCCAACTTTTCGCTCTCCTCTTTTACTTTCATCAGAAGCTCTTTAGTTCCTCTTCACTTTCTTCCATAAGGGTGGTTGCCGGGGTCCAGCCCCAGCAGGATCCGGGGGAACCCTCAGGATGAATGGCGTTGGCGAGAGAGAGACACATAGGATCGGCCTTGATATGGCCAAGTCTGCTAGGGAGAGAGAGAGAAAGAAAGAAAGAGACCAGACCAGGAATATGCAGCAGAGTCTGGCAGTTGCTTTATTTTTGACCATAGCCTTTATACCCTAAGTTGGTACATTTCTAAGGGGCAGATAAGCACACAGACTTAGTTTAACATTACATCAGCTTGTCCTTCACGAAACCAGGTGTGCTCTGTATATTTTTGTTTATGAGAGTCTTTTACCATAGATGTTTTGTACATTATCTTCTGGCCTTGAGGTTAGCAGAAAACAGAAAATTGGCAGTCTCATGGTACAGCAGGTTGTAACATAATAGAAATACAATCTTGTTAACATAAAAGACAGTCTTTTTGCAGAAATTCTCAGCTAAATTTATCTAAAAAGTTTAACACACAAAGACTCTGTGGCTCTGGTGAGGTAGCCCCTGTTTAGCACCCCTGGTTAAAATTAACAATTATCTTATTGTTTTTACACTAGGGCTAAACTCTTATTTTACTAGATCTCCAACTATATTAACAATAGTTTCCACTGCACAGCCTCAGCACATTAACATCAATCAAATGTTGATCTAATAACCACTTTTAAAACAATATTTTTTGTATTTTCTAATAGGGCTTCCTCACCCCCCAAAGGGCTCTGTGCCTATTAGGGCCTTTTTAATGGTTAATCTCTATGTATAATATCTTTTGACTTTCAGGCCTGTTGACAATTTATGGCTTGCACCTGGTGCAACTTTAAGCAACTTCAGTAGCCAACCCTGTCTTTTTTGTGGTTAATCTATTTTCTTTCTATTAGGTGTCATCTCCAAGGGAACTAGATAGGATTACATTTTCACAGAACAGAAATGCAAAGGATTGCAAAAACAGCAGATATGGCACAAAACAGGCTCTTAGTCCAAAAGTTAATTACCTGCAAGAAGTCACCAGCTAATCTCTATCTAAACTATTTTCTATTAGGTGTATATGTGGCTACAGTATTTGTGGGGCTTTTCTCACCCCGCGGAGGGACCTATGCTTAATAGTTTCTTTTGTTAGCGTACTGTGCTTAGGATGTTTAGAACAATCATGAGCATTTTGTGCAATGAGAGCACACATTTATCAAACAAGCCAGAATGCCAGCTAAAGGGTTTGAATGGAAGGATTTCCTTCATCCCTGGCCCCTTCGTAGGGTACCAGCGTCCAGGAGATTTATTAATTAGGGTTTTAAGTTGGTCTTTATTCAATGAAAGAGGAGCAGGAGAGCTCTCGGCAGGCAACACAAGAATCCGCAGCAGGGCAAACAAAAACAACAGCAGAAAAGGGGGGAGGATACAGGGTGAGTTAGAGGCCGAGGCCAACCTGGAGGGTCCCTTATCCTAGACGGCCTTGCCTGTCAGGTTTTTTCCTCATGACCTCGTCATGGATGGGGTCCCGGACAGCCTTGCCTGCCCGGTATTTTCTTCATGACCTCGTCACGGGCGGGACCTCCCATAATGGCTCCCGACAGGTGGTGTCATCTGCATATCTGAGGTTATTGATATTTCTCCCGGCAAACTTGATTCCAGCTTGTGCTTCATCTGGCCCAGCATTTCTCATGGTGTATAAGTTAAATAACTTAACTTATTTAACTGCATATAAGTTAAATAAGCAGGGTGACAATATACAGCCTTGATGTACTCCGTTCCCTATTTGGAGCCAGTCTGTTGTTCCATGTCCAGTTCTAACTGTTGCTTCCTGACCTGCATACAGGTCTCAAGAAGCAGGACAGGTAGTCTGGTATTCCCATCTCTTGAAGAATTTTTGACAGTTTATTGTAATCCACACAGTCAAAGTCTTTGGCAAAGTCAATGAAGCAGAAATAGGTGTTTTTCTGGAACTCTCTTGCTTTTTCAATGCTCCAGCAAATACGACATACTGATCTCTGGTTCCTCTGCCTTTTCTAAAACCAGCTTGAATATCTGGAATTTCATGGCTCACGTATTGCTGAAGCTTGGCTTGGAGAATTTTGAGAGATGAGTGCAAGTGTGTGGTAGTTTGAGCATTCTTTGGCATTGCCTTTCTTTGAGTTGGAATGAAAACTGACCTTTTCCAGTCCTGTGGCCACTGCTGAATATATATATATATATATATATATATAAAATAATTCTGCTAGATCAGTGTCCCCATTTCTGAGACTCTCTTTTCCTGTTCCTTGCTGTGTCCCTGAACCTCACTGTAGTGTAGTAATAAGTAAAGTGAAAGGCACTCAGTTGTGTGAAATCTTTCTGACCACTTGAACTCCATAACCCGTGGAATTCTCCAGGCTGGAATCCTGGAATGGGATCCCTTTGCCTTCTCCAGGGGATCTTCCCAACACAGGGATTGAACCCAGGTCTCCTGCAATGCAGGCGGTTTCTTTACCAGCTGAGCCAGCAGGAAAGCCCTGCATAGTAATAGAAAGCTTCAAATTTGTACCATCTCTTAGTTAATAGCCTAGGTCTCCTAAAACTGTGGGAGTTTCCTGCTGTTAGATGTTATGAGATGAGACAGAAGAGGCAACTCAAGGTAACCTCAAAATGTGGTTGGTGTCCCAAAATCACAAGCATGCCTTTACTATTTACAGTTTTCAACAACTGTCATTCCAGCACCGCTGAGGAGAAGGGAGGGAACTGAGAGTGAGATCAATCACCGGTGGCTGGTAATCCAACCAATATACCTGTTTAGTGAACCCTAGGAAGAAATACATAAGAACTGGGCTCAGAGAGCTTGTGGGTTGGTGAACACTGGAAGCTGATGTGAGGGCGCTGTGCTCACTAGGGCACAGAGGCTGGGCACACCTCCCTCCTTCTTGCCTGCAAATCTCTTCTATTTTTCTGCCTTCGGTTCTATTTTGGGAATGTAAGCAATGGTTTTCTGAAGTTCAGCCCCCGGTTCTATTGAGTTGTTGAATTTGAAGATGGGGTCATGGACCTGCAATCCCCCCTTTTAATTATTTGGTCACAAGCATGATTGACTTGGGACCTCATGGCTGCCATCTGAACTGAATAGTATTGAGCCCTCAACCTGCAGAATCTGCAGTAGCTCCATTGATTCCCATCAGATGTAGATGGACTTGTTGCACACCCAGTGGGTGTTTGGGGAATTGGGTGTTGTTGGTAGAGACACCACATATTTGGTGTGAGGGAAAAACCCAGAATCATTCTCCCCTGTAATTTGTGGCTCAGATGATGCTCCAAAAAGGGGGAGTAATGAATGTTCACATTGCAACCAGAAACTTTTCTCAGTTGTCTGTATTTTAGAGTTCCTGGCAGGATCAGGGAGTGTATCAAATGGGTTGTAACATGCTAGTATCTTGTCCTGGCCCTGCCATCCACATGCCTGGGGCAGGTCATCTGCAGTTTTCTTCTCAGAACTGGCGATATATGTCACATGGCTTTTGAATTGATTACCATTCATATGTATAAGGAGGTGAATTACATTTCATCCTGAATTTTATACATTTTCCACAAACATGTGTTAATATGAAAATACTTGAAAAAATTTACTACATACTTTGGGCAAGAAAGAATATTTACATGTCAAATAATGAGTGTTCTTCTATCATGAAAACTAATCTGAAAGATCTGAAGTAAATGTGCTAGAGGGAATGTAAGAAACAGCCCTCTGTAGGCTGAACAATGGACCAAGGCTGCAACAATATTAGGAAAGTTTCCAGGCCTTTTCCCCTGTCCCCTTTTGACTATTGTTTATTATCCACATTTGTTCTCTCCCTTGTTCACCGTAGACTACTATTTAGTTTGCATACTTCATCCTTACTTGGTTCATGTCCCAGGCTTCCTGAAACTGTTGGAATTTACTGACTTTCATAGGTGTGGAGACAAGCCAAAGAAAGGGACTTGAGAAGCGTTCAGTAATAGATGTGGTTACAAGTATCATCGATGGTGTGGCTACAGGTGAGAACTTTCTGGAACTTTGGGGAGAGGAGATGGCCCTGAGATTGAGAACAGACACCACTGGATAATGATTCAATCAAAATGCCTATTTAATGAAACCTCAGTAAGAATCCGTGAATGTGGTCATTCAGAGAGCTTTGGGGTGGTAACACACGGTGGTGATGTGAGGGTCCTTTGTTCCCTAGGGCATGGAGGCTCCCCACACCTCCACTGCCACTTTGCCCTGCACTAGTCACTCATCTCTTTGTGGCTAGATTTATCCTTCATGTAAACATGACATCCCTCTGTGAGTGGTGTTCCTGAGTATAGTCACGTGATTTACTGAGTTGTTAAACATGGAGTCGGGTAATGGGAACTCTCCAGTTTCAGACACTTTGTCAAATCAGGGGTGACTCATGATAACATGGCTGGCATCTGAACTAGGACAGTTCTGAGCCCTCAACTTGCACAATCTATACGCACTCCCTNATGGTTGGCATCTGAAGTCAGGGCATTCTCGATAACTCTACCTGTGGCATTGGCTCTGACTCCACAGATATGGTATCTGAAGTCAGTGGACAGTGGGCAGCTCGTTGGGTATTGGGAATTAGGTGATTGGTGTAAAAAGCATGTATTTAGTGCCAGGAAAAAACCCAGATTAACGCTCTCCTGAGATTTGAGGGCTCAGGTGAGGCTTGGGGAAGGGTCAGTTATGAAAGTAAGAGCCTGGACCTGGAAACTCTCCCCAGTTCTCTTATTGTCGAGTTCCTAGCCAATCTATAGTGTATCAAATGTGTTGGGACATGACATTACCTTGTCCTGACCAGGCCACCCACATGTTTGTGTCCTGCAGCAAGTCATCTGCAGTTTCCTCATCTGAACAGCGGAAACATGTACATGAGTTACTAGAAGAGATGACGAGTTATAAATGGAAAGACTTTCATGTGTCATGACACGATTTGTCCATTTTTCACCAGAATGTTTTAATCTAAAAACAATTCTCTACCTACTTGCTTTGGCCGAGTAAAAACATTTCTTTATCAAATAATGTTTATTCCTGTGTTATGAACAGTAATCAAAAGATGTTGAACCACGGAGGAGGGCAATTGCAGGGATAGCAAGAAATGCAGCCCTTGTGGGGTAGCCTGTGGGAGGAACCTTATCCAATACAACGGAAGTCTCCGGGCCTTTTCCGTTGTTGTCTTTTGACTTTTATTATCTTATCCATGTTTGATCCTTTCCCTGTTTCATGGGCCAGGCCTCCTGAAACTCTTGATATTTACTGTGTTTCATAGGTCAGGTGACGATTTCCAGAATACAGTTTGATAACCATACACTAATAGAATTGCCAACACTCAACATTGAATACTCAGCACTCAGTGAGGAGAATAAAGGTTTGTAGTTTCTGCACCTTGGGGAAGAAGGAAGGGCACTGAAGTTCTGATCAGTGACCAATGATTCAATCAATAAGCATAGTTCTTGAAACCTCAACAGTGCATGTATATTTCATGGTGAATTTTGTGCATGTTTCACCAAGATGTGTTAATCCAAAATTTTTTCTTTAACTATTTACTTAAGGCAGGAAAGAATATTTAGGTGTCAAATAATGAGTATTCCTTCTTCATTAAAATAATTAGAAATACCTGGGATGAATGTTCTGGAGGGAGTGTAAGAAAGAGCCCTTTGTAGGATGACTCCTGATACCAAAGCTGAGTCATTATTCGGAAAGTTTCCAGGCCCTTTCCCATGTAACCTTTTGACTATTGTTTATTATCCATATTTGTTCCCTCCTTTGTTCACAGTAGACTACTATTTAGTTTGCATACTTCATGCTTACTTGGTTCATGTCCCAGGCTTCCTGAAACTGTTGGAATTTACTGTCTTTCATAGGTGTGGAGACAAGCCATAGAAGGGGACTTGAGAAGCGTTCAGTGAAAGATGTGGTTATAAGTATGGCCAACGGTGTGTCTACAGTTTTGAACTTTCTGGAACTTTGGGGAGAGGAGATGGCCCTGAGATTGAGAACAGGGACCACTGGATAATGATTCAATCAAAATGTCTATTTAATGAAACCTCAGTAAGAATCCGTGAATGTGGGCACTCAGGGAGCATTTGGGGTGGTAACAGACAGCGGCGATGTGAGGGGTCCTTTGTTCTCCAGGGCATGGAGGCTCCCCACACCTCCACTGCCACTTTTCCCTGAACTACTAACTCGTCTCTTTGTGGCTAGATTTATCCTTCATGTAAACATGACATCCCTATGTGAGTAGTGTTCCTGAGTATAGTCCTCTGATTTACTGAGTTATTGAACATGGAGTGGGATAGGAATGACTTGGGATAACATGGCTGGCATCTGAACTAGGACAGTTCTGAGCCCTCAACTTGCACAATCTATATGCACTCCCTGGATTTGATGTCTGAGTTAAATTGGCTTCTTTGACAACCAATGGGTGTTTGGAGGAATTGCATATTGTTTCTAGAGACACCACAGATTTGGTGTGAGTGAAAGCCACCCAGAAGCTCTCAGTGTTTATAGATATTTTAGAGTTCCTGGCCGAATAGGATAGTATATCAAGTGGGTTTTGACAGGAAGCATCTCTTTCAGACTCTATCATCCCCATGCCATGTGTCCCAGGTCAGGTCATCTATTGTCCTCATCTGAACAGTAGATCAGTGCTGAATGAGTTCTTTGAACATTTACCAGCCACAAAAAGAGACTGCTCCTTCACATTCAGGTCATGTTTGGTCCTTTTCCTTTGGGATATATTCAGGAAAAGATTCTCTACCTGCTTCCTTTGACTCATGGGACCAAGTCTGGTACAATACTCACAAATTCTTCAGGCCTTTTCCTTTGTCCACTTTTGCCTATGATTTTATTTTCCATATTTGAAACTTGTCCTGGTTCATGGTCCACTATTCCTGAAAATTTGAAATGTTTTCTTTCATAGGTACCAAGAGTACACTTTCCAAGACTGCCTATAGGAAACCCTATATACTAACAGGATTGGCTGAAACAATCAATAAAACAATTAAAGGTTTGAATTTTTTGCACCTATGGGGAGAGAGAAGGGCACTGAGACTGAGATCAGTACCACTGGCTGACAATTCAATACTTATGCCTATTGAGTGAAACCTCAGCAGAAATCCATAAATGTTGGTTCAGAAAGCTTATGAAGGGAGAACAAATGGTCCTGAGGTGAGGGTGCTCTGCTCAGGAGTGCTTGGATGCTCCGCCTAACTCCACTCCTCCTGTGCCCTAAAGATCTCCTCCAATTCACTATTTCTGAGTTTTTTCTTGGATATTAATTTGAGAACAGTGATTAAGAGTTTTCCTGAGTTTCACTGCTTGTTCCATTGAGTTTTTGAGCATTGAAGTGGAGTCATGGATGTTTCTAGTTTCAGTCACTTGGTCTGAAGCATGATAACTCGAGAACACATGGCTGGCATCTGAAATCACGGCATTCTTGATACCTCAACCTATGGCATTGGCCTTGACTTCACAGATACGGTATCAGAAGCCAGTGGACAGTGGGTGCCCCATTGGTTGTTGGGAATCTGGTGCTTGGTGTAAAAAGCATGCATTTAGTGCCAGGAAAACACCCAGACTCACGCTTTCCTGAGATTTGAGGGCTCAGGTGAGGCCTGGGGAGAGGTCAAAATGAAAGTAAGAGCAGACCTGGAAACTCTCCTCAGTTCTCTGTATTGTCGAGTTCCTAGCCAATCTATAGTGTATCAAATGTGTTGGGACATGACATTACCTTGTCCTGACCAGGCCACCCACATGTTTGTGTCCTGCAGCAAGTCATCTGCAGTTTCCTCATCTGAACAGCGGAAACATGTACATGAGTTACTAGAAGAGATGACGAGTTATAAATGGAAAGACTTTCATGTGTCATGACACGATTTGTCCATTTTTCACCAGAATGTTTTAATCTAAAAACAATTCTCTACCTACTTGCTTTGGCCGAGTAAAAACATTTCTTTATCAAATAATGTTTATTCCTGTGTTATGAACAGTAATCAAAAGATGTTGAACCACGGAGGAGGGCAATTGCAGGGATAGCAAGAAATGCAGCCCTTGTGGGGTAGCCTGTGGGAGGAACCTTATCCAATACAACGGAAGTCTCCGGGCCTTTTCCGTTGTTGTCTTTTGACTTTTATTATCTTATCCATGTTTGATCCTTTCCCTGTTTCATGGGCCAGGCCTCCTGAAACTCTTGATATTTACTGTGTTTCATAGGTCAGGTGACGATTTCCAGAATACAGTTTGATAACCATACACTAATAGAATTGCCAACACTCAACATTGAATACTCAGCACTCAGTGAGGAGAATAAAGGTTTGTAGTTTCTGCACCTTGGGGAAGAAGGAAGGGCACTGAAGTTCTGATCAGTGACCAATGATTCAATCAATAAGCATAGTTCTTGAAACCTCAACAGTGCATGTATATTTCATGGTGAATTTTGTGCATGTTTCACCAAGATGTGTTAATCCAAAATTTTTTCTTTAACTATTTACTTAAGGCAGGAATGAATATTTAGGTGTCAAATAATGAGTATTCCTTTTTCATTAAAATAATTAGAAATACCTGGGATGAATGTTCTGGAGGGAGTGTAAGAAAGAGCCCTTTGTAGGATGACTCCTGATACCAAAGCTGAGTCATTATTCGGAAAGTTTCCAGGGCCTTTCCCATGTCCCCTTTTGACTATTGTTTATTATCCACATTTGTTTCCTCCCTTGTTCACAGTAGACTACTATTTAGTTTGCATACTTCATGCTTACTTGTTTCATGTCCCAGGCTTTCTGAAACTGTTGGAATTTACTGTCTTTCATAGGTGTGGAGACAAGTCATAGAAGGGGACTTGAGAAGCGTTCAGTAATAGATGATACAAGTATCATCGATGGTGTGGCTACAGGTGAGAACTTTCTGGAACTTTGGGGAGAGGAGATGGCCCTGAGATTGAGAACAGGCACCACTGGATAATGATTCAATCAAAATGCCTATTTAATGAAACCTCAGTAAGAATCCGTGAATGTGGTCATTCAGAGAGCTTTGGTGTGGTAACACACGGTGGTGATGTGAGGGTCCTTTGTTCTCTAGGGCATGGAGGCTCCCCGCACCTCCACTGCCACTTTGCCCTGCACTAGTCACTCATCTCTTTGTGGCTAGATTTATCCTTCATGTAAACATGACATCCCTATGTGAGTAGTGTTCCTGAGTATAGTCACGTGATTTACTGAGTTGTTAAACATGGAGTCGGGTAATGGGAACTCTCCAGTTTCAGACACTTTGTCAAATCAGGAGTGACTCATGATAACATGGCTGGCAACTGAACAAGGACAGTTCTGAGCCCTCAACTTGCACAATCTCTACACACTCCCTGGATTTGCTGTCAGAATTAAATTGCCTTGTTGGACACAAAGGGGTTGTTTGGAGGAATTGCATATTGTTTCTAGAGACACCGCAGGTTTGGTGTGAGGGAAAGCCAGACTCACTCTCCCTGTGCTTTGGGAGCTCAGGTGAGTTTGGGGACAGGGGAGTAATGAAGGTGGGACGCTGCACCCAGAAACTCTCAGCAGTTATAGTATTTCAGAGTTCCTGGCCTAATAGGATAGTATATCAAGTGGGTTTTGACAGGGAAGTATCTTTTTCAGACTCTATCATCCCCGTGCCATGTGTCCCCAGTCAGGTCATCTGTTGTCCTTATCTGAACAGTATATCAGTGCTGAATGAGTTCTTTGAACATTTACCAGCCACAAAAAGAGACTGCTCCACATTCAGGTCATGTTTGGTCCTTTTCCTTTGGGATATATTCAGGAAAAGATTCTCTACCTGCTCCCGTGGGCTTGTGGGATCAAGGCTGGCACAGTATTAGCAGATTCTTCAGGCCTTTTCCTTTGTCCACTTTTTCCTATGATTTCATTTTCCATATTTGAAACTTGTCCTGGTTCATCATCCAATATATCTGAAAAACTGGAATCTTTTCTTTTGTTTCATAGGTACCAAGATTGTCCAAAAGGGAGCCAGTATACTAACAGGATTGGCTGAAATAATCAATAAAGCAATAAAAGGTTTGAATTTTTTGCACCTATTTTTTTGCACCTGTGTGGACATGGGAGCGTACTGAGACTGAGATCATTCACCACTGCCTGACAATTCAATACTTATGCCTATGAGTGAAACCTCAGCAAAAATCCATAAATATTGGTTCACAAATGTTATGAAGGGAGAACAAATGGTTCTGAGGTGAGGGTGCTCTGCTCAGGAGTGTGTGGATATTCCACCTAACTCCACTCCTCCCGTGCCCTAAAAATCTCCTCTATTTCACTGTTTCTGTATTTTCTCCTGGACATTAATCTGAAAACAGTGATTAAGAGTTTTCCTGAGTTTGGTTCCTTGCTCCGTTGAGTGTTTGAACATTGCGATGGAGTCATGAAAATGTCGACTTTCAGTCCCTTGGTCAGAAGTGATAACTTGATAACACATGGTTGGCATCTGAAGTCAGGGCATTCTCGATAACTCTACCTGTGGCATTGGCTCTGACTCCACAGATATGGTATCTGAAGTCAGTGGACAGTGGGCAGCTCGTTGGGTATTGGGAATTAGGTGATTGGTGTAAAAAGCATGTATTTAGTGCCAGGAAAAAACCCAGATTAACGCTCTCCTGAGATTTGAGGGCTCAGGTGAGGCTTGGGGAAGGGTCAGTTATGAAAGTAAGAGCCTGGACCTGGAAACTCTCCCCAGTTCTCTTATTGTCGAGTTCCTAGCCAATCTATAGTGTATCAAATGTGTTGGGACATGACATTATCTTGTCCTGACCAGGCCACCCACATGCTTGTGTCCTGCAGCAAGTCATCTGCAGTTTCCTCTCTGAACAGCAGAAACATGTACATGAGTTACTAGAACAGATGATGAGGTATGAATAGAAAGACTTGAATCACGTGTCACAACTAGATTTGTCCATTTTTCACCAGAATATTTGATCTGAAAGCAATGCTCTACCTGCTTGCTTGGCTGAGTAAAAATATTTCTTTATCAAATAATGTTTATTCCTGTATTATTAACAGTAATCAAAGATGTCGAACCACAGATGAGGGCAATTGCAGGGAAAGCAAGAAACGCAGCCCTTGTGGGGTAGCCTGTGGGAGGAAGTCTTATCCAATATAACGAAAGTCTCCAGGCCATTCCCCTTGTTGTCTTTTAACTGTTATTATCTTATCCATGTTTGATCCTTTCCCTGTTTAATGGGCCAGGCCTCCTGAAACTCTTGATATTTACCCTCTTTCATAGGTCAGGTGATGATTACAGTTTGATAACACTAGAGGAATTGCTAACACTCAACATTGAATACTCAGCACTCAGTGAGGAGAATATAGGTTTGTAGTTTCTGCACCTCAGGAAACACAGAAGGCCACTGATGTTCTGATCAATGACCAATGCTTCAATCAATAAGCCTATTTCTTGAAACCCCAACAGTGCATCAATATTTCATGGTGAATTTTGTGCATGTTTCACCAAGATGTGTTAATCTAAAATTTTTTCTTTAACTATTTACAAGTCAGGAAAGAATATTTAGGTGTCAAATAATGAGTATTCCTTTTTCATTAAAATAGTTAGAAATACCCGAGATGAATGTTCTGGAGGAAATATAAGAAAGAGCCCTTTGCAGGATGACTCCTGATACCAAAGCTGAGTCATTATTCGGAAAGTTTCCAGGGCCTTTCCCATGTCCCCTTTTGACTATTATTTATTATCCATACTTGTTCCCTCCCTTGTTCACAGTAGACTACTATTTTATTTGCATATTTTTCCTTACTTAGTTCATGTCCCAGCCTTCCTGAAACTGTTGGAATTTACTTTCTTTCATAGGTGTGGAAACAAGCCATAGAAGGGAAATTGAGAAGTGTTCGGTAATAGATGTGGTTACAAGTATCATTGACAGTGTGGCTACAGGTGTGAACTTTCTGCAACTTTGGGGAGAGGAGAGGGCCCTGAGATTGAGAACAGGCACCACAGAAAAGAAGTGCTAAATTAATTCTTAGAACATTTACCAGTCATTAAACTAAACAGATTATACTTATTTCATTGCCACGTTTTGTCATTTTCCACCGGGATAGGTTTATGAAAAGATTGTTCTGCTTGCTTCCTTGGGCTCATGGGACCGAGGCTGGTACAATATAAGCAAATTCTCCACGACTTTTCCTTTGTCCAGTTTTCACTATGATTTTATTTTTCTTATTTGAAACTTGCCCGGGTTCATGGTTCAATATACCTGAAAATTTGAAATCTTTTCTTTCATAGGTACCAAGATTGCCGAAAAGGGAGCCAGTATACTCACAGAATTGGCTGAAATAATCAATAAAGCAATTAAAGGTTTGAATTTTCTGCACCTATGTGGAGATAGGAGGGCACTGAGACTGGGATCAGTCACCTCTGGCTGATGATTCAATACATATGCCTGTTGAGTGAAACCTTAGTAATAATCCATAAATATTGGGTCAGAGAGCTTATGAGGTGGGAACCAATGTTGAGGTGAGGGTGCCGTGCTCATCAGGGCATGAAGGCTCCACTCACCTCCACTCACCCTTTGACTTAAACATCGCCTTCATTTCGCTGTTTCTGATTTTATCCTGTAACTTAAAGTGAGGACAGTGAGTAAGAGGTTTTCTGAGTTTGGTCGCTGGTTCGACTGAGTTTTTGAGCATGGAGTTGCAGTGAAGGAAAGTTCAACTTTCAGTCCCTTGGTCAGAGGCATGATAACGTGAGACCACACGGCTGGTCTGGACAGCCATGGACAGTCTTTTTTTTTTCATTTTTATCCTGTTGCTTTTTTGGTTTTTATTTGAATTGTACTTTTTTTTTCATTTATTTTTATTAGTTGGAGGCTAATTACAGAATACATGTAACTCCATGGCTGATTCATGTCAATGTAGGACAGTCTTGATAACTCAACCTGTGGCATCGGCACTAACTCCACAGATATTGTTATCAGATGTCAATTTACAGTGGGATGCCGCTTGTCTTTTGGGATTTGGGTGGTTGGTGGAAAAGCCACATATTTCATGTCAGGAAAAAGCCCAGACTCACCCTCCCATGTGATATGAGTTCTCAGGAGAGGCTTGGGGAGAGGTGAGTAGTGAAAGTAAGACCCTGGACCTGGAAACTCACCATTTTTCTGTATTTTGAGTTCTTAGCCAATCAGTAGTATAGCAAATGGGTTTTGACATGAGAGTATTTTGTCCTGACACGGCCACTCACACGGTTGTGTCCTGTGGCAAGTCATCTACAGTTTCCTCATCTGTATAGGGGAAACATGTTACATGAGTTCTTGGAATAGATTCTGAGTTATTAATGGAAAGACTTTATTCATGTGTCCCGACCAGATTTGTCCATTTTCCACCCAGTGTGTTAGTTTGAAAAATTTCTCTGCCTACCTACTTGCTTTGGCCAAGTAAAAATATTGCTTTATCAAATAATGTTTATTCCTGTATTATTAATAGTAATCAAAAGACTTTGATCCACAGAGGAGGACAAAAGCAAGGAAACTAGAAACAGAAACCTTGTGTGGTAGGATGTGGGACCACGGTTGAGACAATATTACAAAAGTCTCCAGGCCCTTTCCCTTGCTGTCTTGTGACTGTTATTATCTTTTCCATGTTTTATCCTCTTCCTGTTTCATGAAGCAGGCCTCCTGAACCTCTTGAAATTTACTTTCTTTCATAGGTCAGGTGATGATTTCTGGCATACAATTTGATAACCATACACTAGAGGAATACCAAACACTCAAGATTGAGTACTCAACACTCTATAAGGAGAATAAAGGTTTGTAGTTTCTGCCATTCAAGGAGGAGGGGAGGGCACTGAGATTCAGATCAATGACCAAACACCAATGCTTCAATCAATAAGCCTGTTTCTTGAAACCTCAACAGTGCATAAATATTTGAGTTCAGAGAGTTTTCTAGGTGGTGAATACGATTGTGAGGGTGCTGTGCTCAGAAGGGAATGGAATCTCCACACACATACTCACACGCCCCTTTGCCCTACACGTTTCCTCCATTTCACTGTTTGTGAATGTTTCATGTAAAGTCATCTGAGAACAGCAAATAAGTGTTTTCCTCAGTTTGGTCATAAGTAACTGTCAGTTATTGAGCATGGAGGTGCGGTCATGGACCTCCCCATTTTACCCATTTGGTCACAAGCCAAAGTAAGTGGGGACCACATGTCTGGCAGTAAACTGAGGACAATCTTGTGTGCTCAACCTGTGGGGTCTGCAATAACTGCTTGGTACTCATATCAGGCGTCAATTGAATGGAGGACGGCCAGTGGGCGTTGGGGAGTTGGTTGATGTTGGTGGAGACATCACAGATTTGTGTTAGGAGAAACCCGGGTTTACTCTGGCCCATGATTGGGGCCTATTGTTACCTTGGGTACAAGGAAGTGATGAACGTAGGACACTGGCTCCAGTTACTCTTACAAGTGAACTGTATTTTCTGAATTTCTGGTAGAATTAGGTATCGTGTCAGATGGGTTGTGACATCATAGCAACTTGTCCTGACTCTACCACCCACATGCTCCGTTCCTGGGAAAATTATCTGCAGTTTCCTCATCTGAAGAGGGGAAATATGTTACATTCATTCTTTCAACCTGTTGCTAGTCATGAATATAAAGAATTTATGCCCCGCTACCTTAGTGTCTACAGCATTTGAGAGTTTAGTTTCCTGACAAGGGATTGAACCTAGGACTCCAATATTGGAAGCCAGATTCTTAACCACTGGATAACCTTGCACGTCTTACAAATGTTTTAAGGCTATTCAAAGACATTATACCAAACTTCCTTAGAGGACTTCATGAGGAGATATACGTTTGTACATGATTACTATATCAGGTCACCCCTAGCAACATTCATGATTTTGTCCCAGAAAGGAGGTTTTCAAATGGTCTTTTCAATCTTGCATTCCTCCACAGCCTTAACATTCTCTATGGCAAACAAACTGGGGGTTCTAGTTGTTGTCCTTGTATGGAACTGTGATGAGCATCCTCATAACTGAGCCATTGCCCCTCTCCTTCCAGTAGCTTCTAAGCCTGCCTTCTGCCTGGAGCCTAAAGTAACAGGTAGCTGCAATACCATGATGACCAGGTACTTCTACAATGCCCAGACTGGCCTCTGTGAGCAGTTTATGTATGGTGGCTGTGAAGGAAATGCAAACAACTTTGAAAAATTAGAGGACTGCATGAAGACCTGCTCTCAAGAGGCTGGGTCCCTGTGGTAAGACAGGGGGCAGGGCACCAGAGGAGGGGAAGGACTGGGGAAATAGATGGAGCTCAGGGGGCCACACACCATTCACCCTGCACAGTGTCCTCCTCCTCGCTGCTGCCAGGAGAGGCTGCAGTGTCCTGTGAAACCCACACTGAGCGAGTTCTCCAGGGAGAGAATGGCAGAAGGTCAACCTCTGATGCCTCTGTGGTCATCTCAGCCTGATCACATGTTCCCCTTTCTCAGCTGGGACAGTGATTCAGCCACCCTCCAGGGCAGGTATGCAGTGCTTCTGTGTATCCTACATAAGTTTGGAAAATTCACTTTCTTCTTGTTTGTTATTCGGGAATGTGGTTCCATATTTTTTTGAAAATACGGGATCTATTAAGTTGACCATTGTCCATGTCTGGGGCTACACTGATGGCACTCAACAAGTTCCTTTCTTTTTGCAGAGGACACGCGAAGAGTGGATTCAGGAACGCTGAAGTCTGAGGAGGACCCCTGCAGGGCTGGGCTGTGGCTGCGTCTGAACCTCTTCAGTCTCCTCACAGTCCTTCTCTGCCCTACCCTCCTCAGCAGAGCCTGCCTTTTCCTTTCCTCCATTGGTCAACATGTCTAATTCTGTCTCTACCAGCTGGTTCTCAGCACCATGAAAGCATGTCTTCCCTTTACCCCTAGCGCTTCACACAGGACCTGACACCAATGAGACAGTTTATAATTATTTGAGGATGGAAGGAAGGAATGTAGGAGCACATTCCTCATGATCAAAGTAACTACAGAGCCTGTGATGAAACACAGGATTTTTGTTTTCATCCCCATCCTCAAGGCATCCTCACCTTCATCCCCATTCCCTCCATCACTATTCTCCTTGTGGGTGTCCAAGGTTGAATTTCAGCACCCAGTTCTCAACATCAGTAATGAGAGAAGAGTTTGGTTTAAAAAAGCCCCTTTTCCACACAGTGATGTTGCAATTTTCATTTCTGTAGCTTCAAACACTATGGTTTATATTTTGATAAATATATTTTCAAAGTTAAACTGACTGGAGTGGAGTCTTTTGTTTATAATTACAAATGTTAATAAATAGGGTCTATACAAGTGCTCAGGCCTGGTGCACTGGGAAGACCCAGAGGGATGGGGTGGAGAGGGAGGTGGGAGGGGGGACTGGGATGGGGAATACATGTAAAAATACATGTAAATCCATGGCTAATTCATTTCAATGTATGACAAAAACCACTGCAATGCTGTAAAGTAATTAGCCTCCAACTAATAAAAATAAATGGAAAAGAAAAAAAAAATAGGGTCTATGGAAATGGTGGTCCTTCTAACTGTTCTGCAGACAGTGGGGACCTCCCATTCCCCTTTCCAGAGACTGTGCCCTCCTGGGTATAGGATGCAAACCCATTATACCATTGTTGACTCCTTAATAGCATCACAAGCTACAGAGAACCCTGAAAGATACACCCATCAACATAACAGCTTTTCTTCGTTACTTGTAAGTTCAGTCAAATGGGGTGGGGGCAGGTTGCTAAGACATCAATGTTTATTCTTACCATCTCCTACTTAACCATGTGCAATATACCTTGATTCACAAACCTAACATTCCAGGTTCTTATGCAGTACTATTCTTTGCAGCATCAGATTTTACTTTCATCACCAGACACATCCACAACTGAGCATCGTTTCCGCTCTTTCTTTCTGGGGCTATTAATAGTTCTCTTCTCTTCCCCAGTACCCTATTGGACAGCTTCTGACCTAGCGGGTTCATCTTCCAGGGTCATATCTTTTTGTCCTTTCATACAGTTAATGAGGTTCTCATGGCAAGTGTACTGGGGCAGGATACCATTCCCTGCTCAGGTGGATCACGTTTTGTCAGAACTCGCCACTATGACCTGTCCATCTTATGTGGTCCTACGTGGTGTGGCTCATAGATTCATCAAGTTACACAAGCCGCTTTGCCACAACAAGGCAGTGGTCCATGAAGAGGAGTAATATTATAATATATGTTATTTAATTTTTGATATTTATTAGTTTACAAGTGTAACGAAAATGACAAGATATTAATGAAAAGAGTTTGGCTTCAGTAACTTACTGTGTTTTGTGATTTTGGGCAAGTCATTTTATCTCCCTGAGATACAGGTTCTTTTTTAATAAAAAGAAGAAAGTGATATCTACATTAAAAATGCCCAGATTTGGGTAGTTTGAGAACCGTGGTAAACACTGTGCTAATGTGCTTTCACCAGCACAGATTAAACAAATTGTCTAGAAATACAACGTTTTATTTTGCTCTGCTCTGGACTGCTCTTTAAATGAGCTGTCTACTGTAGTAAAGACAGGGGGAAATAACACTGACTGTAGTGGTGTCATCTTCTAGAATTTCATCCTCAGGAAACTGCCACAGTGCTAGATTGGCGCCATCGTCCCAATTCCAATTAGGTCTCCTTCTTCCTCAGAGGCAACTGAAAGCCCTCTTGCCTCAGTGATTGATCTCACCCAGGTCCAGCCCCTTCCCCACCCCTCCTTGTCTTTATTTGACTCTCTGGACAATGTAGTCAAGTGTGAATTATCATAATTACTCATCATTATTTCAAAGGACTCTGACTATGTATCGAGAAGAGTTGTGGGGTTTGATGGGTAGTAGGTAATCTTCCAAGGTCCCTGAAACCCACTCTAGCCCCTGAGGTCCACTCTGGCAGGTAGCTCTCTTACTGGTGAAATCAGGTTAGGACAGTGGGTGGTCATGGTCTGGAGATGTGTTTATGTCTCTGCTTCCCTTCTGCCCACTCCCTTTGCTTTATTTCTACCCAGAATATCAGGGATTGTGCCCTAGATGGAGATGCTCTTAACCCAGCTCAACAACTGCCTGGGCCAGTGCCAGTTAAAGAGCTTGTGTGTTCCAGCAGAGATTCTGCCACAGTGGTTGCAGGAAAGTTAGCAGTGTCGTACTTGTCTTCTGAAGTAAGCGGGGTTAATGTGAGAGGGGGAGCACTGACACCTAGGTATGAAGACCCGTGAATGAGGCTGTAAAGGAGGACCTAGGCTAACACACGGCTGATCATCTAGCAGTCCTTTGGTCTGCTGTCATCCACCCTTGGACCATCCATAACTGCCATGCATGGCTCTAGGTGCTGGGATGCTCCTTGTGTGACCATATTGGACAAATTTCCACCTGTGGCATCACATTCTGTTTTCACAAGACCACTGACACAGTCAAGTTTGAGGACCAAAATTACTGGTCATTTTCCCTGAGCAGACAGAACCGACAGAAAAGCCTGGCGTGCTACAGTCCATGTGGCCTCAAAGAGTCTGACCACACTGAATGACTGAGCAGACACACACACACAGGCAGAAGCAGGAAATGGAAGGTGGGGAGATTACACATTGCACATGACTGACCCTAAATCCTCCTGTTCCTCACTCCCCTCCTTCTCGCCTACTCTTACCTATCAGCTGGGGTGTAAACTGATCTGTCAGCAGCCATCTTTCTATAGAGTCCCTTCTTGCAAAGCCAAAAACATGAGCAGATTCTGCATTTCTGCAGCCTCACTCATCCTTCTGGAAACAGAAGTGGCTGACATTCCAGGGGTAAAAACAGCAACAGGTCCAGGGTACAGCCTAGCTCACCTCTCTTTTGCAGACTGAAGGGAAAGGAAGTGGGTCCATGCAAGGGGTGGGAAGAGGGGCATGGTGGATTCTGCTAGCCTTCTCTGGATTTCTTCTGGGAAGTGAGCAGCTGGTCTCCATGGACATTTCTTAACTCTCCAAAAGTATCATTATGTTTTCTGCTTTTAATAAAAAACTATCCCACTCATTCTACAAAACCATTAACTTCATCTCTGAGACTGTCTATTCCAGGTCTTTACCTGGTCCCTAAACCCCACTTTAGAGTAGTAAAAAGATCCATATTTGATCCTTGTCCTGGTTCATGCCCCCAGGACTCTGGAAACTCTTGGAATTCATTGGCTTTCTATAAGTAATGAATTCTGTAAAGGATCAGATCTTAGATAGCACCTGCATGCACCTGGACTCCAGAATATGCCATCAAATGATTAGGGAGTTAGAATTATCAGTCCCTAGTCCCTCTGGGGAAGAGAGAATGGATACTGAGATTCCATAAAGAATCAAATTGACTACCTCAAACCGGCAATTAAAACCCATGAAGACTGGATTCAGAAAGCTACAGAGTGTTGATAACATCAAGTGTTTGCAAGGGAGGCATGTCTTGAGATGGCATGGAGGCTCGGCATTTCCTATTCCCTCTTTGCCTTATGCTTCTCCTCCTTTTTGCTGTCTTGCAGTTTTATCCTTTAAAATAACAGGGGACCATAATTAAAGGTCCCCAGTGCTGTGAGTGGTTCTGATAACCAGCTCAACATGAGAGTTGGGTTAAGGAATCTCTGAATTTACATTGGGTTGGTCACACGTGTAAGGCATCACAGACTTGTGAACAACACTTGAATTGTGGGCTGTCTTCAGGAATGGAATGCTCACTCTGTGGTTTCTGGGTCACTTCTGTGGATTTTGTGTCAGAAGTAAATAGACTGGTGGATGCTCAGTGATAATGGGGGAACTGTTTGCTGTTGGCAGAGACCCCACATGTTTGGTGTTGGGGACAGACTTACTGTTTTCCTCCATTTGCATCTGGGGTGAGGTTCAGGGATAGAGGGTTATATTATGTTGAAGAGAGCACTCAGAAGCCCTCAGTAGTTCTCTGCATTTTCAGAATTCCTGGCAGAATCATGGACCTGATTAAATGAGTTGTGACATATTGTGTCTTGTCCTCATCCTACCACCTACATGCTGTGTGTCCTGGGATATTCCCATCTACAGCTTTTTCATGAGAGCAGGGTCACCATGTTTCTAGAGTTTTTTGAAAGGATTACCAATCATAAGTGCAAAGAATTTACACTTTTGAGATCAGTGGTGTCTATTTTCCACAAAACATTTTAGTCTGAATGTCTTGTTGACCTACTTACATTTCTCCATGACATATCCAAAAAACCCCATATGTGTCAAATAATGATTATTTCTCTGTTGTGAAATTAATCAGAGAGTTGAGTGACAGCTGAGGGTCTTCTCTTCAGAGGTAACTGCAGGCAGAGCAAGAAATGAAGTACTTTGTTGAGTTTGCTCTTGGGGCCAAGACTGCTTTTCCCAGGCTGATATGATATTAGTCGATTCAATGCCATTCCCCTTGCCCTCCTATCAGAGTATATTTTAATTTCCTATAATGATATAAATGACTGTTACATTCATAATTATATAGACAGGCCTCACCATCATAGCAACTAACAGGAGTTTTACTCTATCCATTCTCTTCAATGATGGTGCACTTGTCATGAATATGAAATAGGAGAGTCATTTACTTGGGAGATATTTGTCCAGATATATCTTTTTGATTATGAGAGCATAGCTTTTTTTTGAGTAGGGAAACAGCTGTAAACAATATATAGTAAAATAATATACACACAGTAAAGGAGGGAAATACACAATAAAGTTAGGGAAAACCCTATGCCAGGTTTTTGAGTGTTGCGAAGAAAGAAAGTGATAGGGATAAAGGAGGCTGGCAAGAGTCAGGGAAATGCTCTGTGATAAGGAGGTTTTGAGCAGAGCCTTCTGAAAATGTGCCTGAGTGTTTGAGCAGCAGCCA